CATTACGCAACATTTTGTTGCGGGTCTCCTCTTGTCTATATACTAATAGCCAAGTCGCCCCCTGAGTGCGGATATCTAAATCCGCACATCGGGGGCCCCTAGGTGGCAAAGAGATTTTCCTGCACATTTGGGGCAATCCCCAGGTGTGCAGAAAAATCTAAAAAGTTTAAAAAACTATAGGGGGGATACTTAAATTCTCCAAAAGTAAAAGAGCATTCCCTGTGCATGTGCAGAGAATGCCCTGGCAACTGTCTTGCCTCTGCCTCTGCTGAAGGGGAGGTGGGAGAAGGCTTGGCGGGCCGGCAGCTGTGAGCCATTCAGGCCTCGCTGCCACTACCGCTGGGGGGGGGGGGGGGGGCCGCTGGGGGGGGGTGGAGGCAGAAAACTTGGTGGCCAGTGGCTGTGAGCCGTTCAGGCCTCGCTGCCACTCAGGGGGGTGGAGGGAGAAAGCTTGGCGGGCCAGCCTCGCCACCACTGCCGGGGGGAAAGGGAGAGGGGAAAGCTTAATGGGCCGGCAGCTGTGAGCCATTCAGGCCTCACTGCCACTTGGGGGGGTGGAGGGAGAAAGGTTGGCGGGCTGGCATCGACACCAATGCCAGGGGGGGCGGGGAGGGAGAAGGCTGGGCTCACCTGCTGCCACTTCTTCTGCTTCTGTAGGTGGGGAGCTGTGGGGAGTATTGTGGGTCCCACTTCTTGTAACTGCATAATTTATACCAGTTCTCAAATCTGACGTTTCCCCAGAGGCAGAATTGGGGGGAGGGGGGGCATTTGGTGTCTGACAGCACAGTGTGCAGACTGGAACTCACCTCCTGACAAACAAGAGCTGACTTGGGCTTCATGCTTCTCCTGCACAGCAGCACTTTTGAGCGCAGCCGCTGGGGCCTCCTTGGCATTCACGTGCCCCTTCCCCAGAACCACTCAGAACCTGTCTGACCCCTCAGTGAGCAACTCTGCTTGCATTCCTTCGAGGACACTCAAGGTAACCAGAGTGCAAGCTGCACGTCTCTTTCTTTCTCTGTTTCTCTCTGCAGGGGAGTCTGTTGCACTGCTCATGCCCGCTTCGTGCCGCGATGGAGAACGCCTGCCTGGGGAAGAAGGAGGCCACACCACCACCAGGACAAGCCGGCCCCAAAGTTCTCTTACCCTTTCCCAGTCCTGGGCCAGCCAGTGCATCGGACAGTTCTTGTCCCCGCAGGGGTATATGGCCAGCGGCTTGGTCTCCACGTTACACTGGGATTCAGGCACCACACGCCCATCGCTGGTTTTGCAGTAGACATGCCGGATCATTCTCCCCTGCCCACAGCCTCCACTGCACTGAAAGGAAAATAGGGGGCGGGGATGTATTCATAACCATATCCACTGCATCCCACTCAAACAGGGCTTGAGCAACACCAACACTGACCAACTGCTAAGCGTTTTAGGACAAAATTGGGGGGTATAACATCATAACGGCACCTCGAAAAACACACCATTGGCATCTCTTAGTTCAGTCAGCCACCCAACCCTTCCCTCAACAGTTCCCCCCCCTCCGAGCCTTTCTTTATTGCGCTGGACATGAGTCCCTAACATCACCCCCTTTCTCCATCCCCACAGCTGCCTTTGCCACCACCCAGCTGGAGAGAAAAAGCAGGGACCTCTTTTACTCATCCACCTTCTTGAGGTAAGGGCGGGGGTGGCCTGGGACCTTCTGACCCGGCAGCGCACTGAGGCATCCGACGGACTTCCAAAGGGGGACCCCAGGGAGAGCTCTTCCTCAGCACCCCCTGCCTGCTCTCACGTCCTCGCGCTGCTGCATCGCCCAGGCTCCCTGCTGCCAGAAATACCAGTGCCATCAGGAGGTCCACCAGTGGGGCCAGGACATTAGAAGCCCTCCCACTGTTGACCCCCCCAAGCACCAAGAGGACAGAGCATCACTTGCCCCAGAGTCCCTATCTATAGCTTGTGGCTAATAGCCACTGATGGACCTCTGCTCCATATGCTTATCTAATTCCCTTTTGAAGCCGTCCATGCTTGTAGCCGCCGCCACTTCCTGTGGCAGTGAATTCCATGTGTTAATCACTCTTTGAGCGAAGAAGGACTTCCTTTTATCTGTTCTAACCTGACCGCTCAGCAATTTCATGGAGTGCCCACGAGTTCTTGTATGGTGAGAAAGGGAGAAAAGTACCTCTTTCTCTACCTGCTCTTTCCCATGCATAATCTTATAAACCTCAATCATGTCACCCCTCAGTCGTCGTTTCTCCAAGCAAAAGAGCCCTAAGCGCCTTAACCTTTCCTCATAGGGAAAGTGTTCCAACCCCTTTATCATTCGAGGGCTCTAGGAACACTTTGCCCCCCAAAAAACAAACTGGAACGGCCCCTGCTCCCTTCTGCCAGTCTTCCTTTGCAAGAACATCTCCCTCTTTGCGCTGTAATGGACTCTGGCTGGCCAAGAGTGGGTTCAGCCTCCCGGCCTGGGCTTGCATTCTGGGCTGCCTGACCGAGCGCCTCCCTCAAGCCGCACCTCCCATGGACCCACGCTGCCAGGATGGTACTTGGTGCAAAACATGAAGCAACGCCGGAGAGGTGTCAGCAAGCTGCCAAATGTTTATTATTATTTGCATGTATGCATGTATGCATCTATACGCTGTCCCCCCCCCCATATATGCGCTCAGGTAATCATGAGCACATTTCCCCTATTGCTTTGCATTCCGTTTAGCATACGCCAGCCATGCTTTGATGTAACGTTAGCTAGTCAAGGCCGCTGGAAAAGAACAGGCCCGCTTTGCTTTGTCTGTAATTAGTAGAGACTGTGTGAACTGCAGTATTATTTATATTAAAGTAGCAGTTGCATTCCCAAGGTTTGGGCGCGAGAGAAACCCTTTGGGCGCGCGCGGGAACCATGCTTATTGGCTGTATTGATTATGAACTTGCTTTAACCTTTCTAGCTCTCTGAGGAATAGTTATTCTGAACAGTGCCTCTGTTCAAGTGCTCCATGGCTTCAATAAAGTAAAACCTTCTTGCAAGTGTGTACTACGTTGTTTGCTGTGGGACCTGACAAGAGGGCGTGTGGCATGGCAGCTGCGAGACTGAGTCCAGTGCAGCCTTCGGGAAGGCACGGGGCTCACGGCCTCAGCTCCCCTTCCCATACAATATGGAAACACAACAATTTGACTCAAGAGTACTGCATAAATGCAAAGGATGGTCGTATGATCGTTATTAATGCTCTTGCTCCCTTCCCCCCAGTTCCTTCACCCCAGGAGGGGCTCTTTCTCCACTCTCATCAACAAACTGAAATGGTTGCAAATCTATTCCACTGGAGTTGTCTTGACTGTTTTCAACCCCCCAATATCTCTCTTCAGGAGATGTATTTCTCACGGTTGCCAGCCATCTCCATGGAGACTTGCTTATTTTTAGACAATTCCACCAAATTGAAAAACTGGAATAAAAATAACTCTAGAAAGAGAAGCGGCTTCATATGACTTGCACACACACACACACACTCACACAACTTCTGAATACTAAAATTAGAAAGATTTTTGCTGTGAAGCTACTTGGTGTTTTTAAGAAGAGCGGGGAAGCTTATTTCTTTGAGAGTAAAGACTGGACCAGAAAGCAATCCTGCTTTCTTGAGGTTACCTTCCCTTCAGTGGAGCTTGAGCAGAAGAATTTCTACTACTGCCACCCCTCCCCTCAGAAAAGGATCTAGGGGCAGGGGTCATTTCGTAGAAAAAGAGCTAGGGGAACTCATTAGCATAACTCATTAGCATATGCCACACCCCCTGACATCAGGGGCCCGGCAGTGGACCTGCAAGGCCAGCAGGAGTGCGAGGAAGCACCGCCAAGGCCCTCCCTGGCCCCAGGCAGGCAGGGGTGGGGAGAGGCGGGGAGGAAGCAACTTACCCTCTCTCTTCTCCTGCCTCCTCCTGGCTGAATGAGGGCCGGAAGTGGGGCGGCCGGAAGCAGGGGGCGGGGCTTTGTCATGTGCCCCGCCCCCTGCACCTCACCCGGGGGAACTGCGTTCCCCTGCATTCCCCCCCCGAAATGACCTCTGTCTAGGAGTCTTAGTGGACCATACACTGAATATGAGTCAGCTGTGTGATGTGGTAGCTAAAAAGGCATATGTCATTTTGGGCTGTGTCAACAGAAGTATAGTGTCCACATCACACGACGCGATGGTACCACTTTACTCACCTAGAGTATGGTGTTCTGTTCTGGGCACCACAATTTAAGAAGGATACAGACAAGCTGGAACGTGTCCAGAGGAGGGCAACGAAGATGGTGAGGGGTCTGGAGACCAAGTCCTATGAGGAAAGGTTGAAGGAGCTGGGTACGTTTAGCCTGGAGAGGAGACGACTGAGAGGTGATATGAAAACCATCTTCAAGTACTTCAAGGGCTGTCATGGAAAGGACAGTGTAGAGTTTTCTGTTGCCTCAGAAGGTCGGACCAGAACCAACAAGTTGAAATTAAATCAGAAGAGTCATTGTCTAAACATTAGGAAGAACTTCCTGACAGTTAGAGTAGTTCCTCAGTGGAACAGGCTTCCTCGGGAGGTGGAGGGCTCTCTTTCTTTGGATGTTTTTAAGCAGAGGCTAGATGGCCATCTGACAGTAATGCTGGTTCTGTGAACTTAGTCAGATCATGGGTAGGAAAGGTTGCATCACTGCTTAGTTCTTGTGGCCCTTTCTTACATGCCCCGGGAAATGCTGATCGCCACTTTGGGGTCAGGCAGCAATATTTTTTCCAGGCCAGTTTGGCCAGGGATCCTGGAGGTTTTGTGGGGGGGTTTGCCATCTTCTGGGCCATGGAAACACAACAACAAAGGACAATGGAATAAGAGAACTTCTGTAACCAAATAAGTTAAACTCTGAAAATGGGCTGCATCTCAGAGATTCCCAAATCATATAAAAATTCCACCAGTAAGAATTCACAAATATCACTCTATGGAAAACAGTACAACACTGTAGTCAAATACAACATCAGTATCAATGAACTCACAAAAATTACAGGAGTCCAATTGCCAACTGACCGAGTAGGATGTAGTTAAACAATCAAACTAACCAATAGCTGAGACATCCTATAAACTTGGGAACAATAACATTCAAAAATTACATTTACAATAACAATACAGAGTAATTACATCCAGAAATAACAGTAAAAGCTAAGCTGTGGAGTCTTGTGAGCAAAAATTCTACTTGATGAGCTACTGGCATTAAAGTCGTGAGCGAGTGATTGGGCTAACTGCATAAATTAGTTTGCTCTGGAGCCATCCTTCCTGAGCTAAGACAAAAATGTGTGAGCCGGAGGCTAAAAAACTGAGCTAGCTCACACTAACTCAGCTTAGAGGGAACACTGGCGATGAGTATTTACAGTGATACAAGGTCCCGGCATAGTTCTCTTGTTTCCATAAGAGTTCTTTTTCAGTCGCTATTACAGTGAGAATGATCCTATATTGAATGAAACAGTGAGAAAAACTTTTCAAGCCTCCCACAGGAATGACCTTGGTGATAATCTCCTGGTCTCACGTCCGGGATAATAAGTTTACACGTTCATAAAAAAGGAACATATACTCCACAGGAAATTTGTCACAGCCTGCTAACAATCTAAATCTCACTGTTTGATTGTTTAACTACATCCTACTTGGTCAGTTGGCAATTGGACTCTTGTAATTTTTGTGAGTTCATTGGTACTGATGTTGTATTTGACTACAGTGTTGTACTGTTTTCAATAGAGTGATCTTTGTGAATTTTTATATGATTTGGGAGTCTCTGAGATGCAGCCCATTTTGAGAGTTTAACATCTTCTGGGCATGGAGCAGGGGTCACTGGGGGTGTGGGGGGGGAGGTATTTGTGAATTTCCTGTATTGTGAAGGGGGTTGGACTAGATGACCCTGGAGGTCCCTTCCAACTCTATGATTCTATGTTTCTATGATCAAAGGCCCACAGCAAGTTTCTGTACATGGACAGGGGTGGACAGAAAGTAAAGTGTGCAGAGACAGAACTACTAGTTGCTGCAGTCCTTGTACAAGATGCTGAATGAGGTAGGTCTGATCCACTTCTTAAACAAAGGACAGGCCTTCACCGTATGAAAAGGGAAGATCTCTGCGATTTCTACTCTACCACACTTTCTTTCCCACAATGGCCAGCCATATGTCTCCAGCAAGTCAGGAAGGAGGCAAAGCCGCTCCCTAGCAGCTGGCAATGGGTTCATTTGGCCATCGTGGATCTTCAACCCGTTCTCTAAAGTCCTTTTGAAAGCCATCACTGCACCTTATCGCTATGAGTTCCTCTAAGGAATCCTGTGTTGTGTGAAGTGCTTCTTTTTATCTTGGTGAC